CAACAAGTTCGGAAGTCCGTCACACGTTCATCTCCAAAACAAATACGTCACAATTTCTGTCTCCATTTCCTGATTCCATATCAAAGCCAGGGGGCAAAGCCCCTGACAAGTTACATATTCTGATATGCACGACGCCCAAGCCCCGCACATAGACTCTTCAGGAGGACGACTCCAAGAATGTTATCCTCGAACTACTTGAGGCCATACCAATCAATGCCTTGCCCCAATTTATACCTACCCTACTCCTACTCACCAAGCTACGAATACAAAAAAGTCATCCAGTACCCAACCTTCCTCATTGAAACGTAGAAAACGTTCGTTCCAAGCAACCCGGCAATCCATTATGGCAGGTGTAGATGCCCTAAAAACTGTCAGCAAATGAAGACAATAGTACAACATGATGAACGACTTTCTAGTGGCGGCAACGTGTACCTGCAAAAAGGCCAGACACACAAAGAGAGCGCACACACAGACAACACACAGAGGAGGACAAGCAAACACTTGATGTCGGAATCTTCCGTGTGTTCCATCGGAAGAGTCGAACGATGTCCTGCCCCAAAAAGAACACTCAGAAGCGGTCAGATCTCCCACGTCCAATGGGCATGCCAAGCTGTTCAACCCCAGGCGTGGTATCAAAGGACCAGCGACGTCCTGCCCCAAGAAGAACACTCAGACGCGGTCAGATGCAACGACTTGCTGGTTTCTGTTCGCCTGTAGCCTCTGTCGTCGAGGCTGTACTATAGGTAGGTTAGATTCCTAATTTTGTATGGCTGAGGGCTAACCGAGAGACCCGCCTGTAAGGAAAATTCTAGAGGGACATATCTGCAAATTGGGGAAAAATATAGGCCCATGCTAACAAGAACTTCCTACAGCTACCCTAACTGCGATTAGCAGGCCCGGACTACCCCTAGGACAGACAGGCCCTACGGGCCTATGCTGAAAGATGGTCCTATAGCCTATAGCCGGGTAAGGTAGAGGCCGAGAGGCCGAAACTGATACGGCACCGGTCGGTCTAGTCAGTCCGGTCTAGGTTGAGTCTAGGCTAGGGTAGGTTATAGATAGGATGTAGACATCGGTTCAGGGCTTTTGGGCAGTTGGTACCGGGTACATCGCTGCTGTGCAATGCGTGAACTGGAAGTGGTGACAGCTTCAGCGTTGAAGAAGACAGACATAGCCGGACCTGCGGAGTGTCAGCCATAGCTGGGACTGACACTGTACTCTGACAGCAGGTGGGGCTGTTCAGAGGTCTGGGCTACGTGAGGTCTGCTGGAGGCGACCCTCCTCCGGAGTAGGGTTACAAGGTATGCGGCACTGCAGCCATAGCTGCAGCTTCTTCCTCAGAGATCATCTTGTCAGGAGAGGTGCGGCTGCTTCAGACTTCCACCCGGGAAGTCAACCGGCACTTCATTATCATCAGGCACTGTGGCGCTGGTCTTCTTCTTCATCCTCTGAGTGGCGCTTGGCCTCAGAGGCCTGTTTCAGGGTGGCGCTTCCCTCTGGAGGCAGTATCTGGGTGGCGCTTGGTGTTTCAGGGACTCAGGGGTGTAGTTAGCGGTTACTCAGGGTTGGGGAGTGAAGCGCTGCTCAATTCTGAGCAGCGCACCATAGTTCTGGGGTTATCCTGACAATTCGAGACTCTGAGTGTAATAAACAGAGTTGATACTGGGTGTGAACTATCTTTGCTTCATTGTTTTTCGTATGTGATCTACTCGGCTTTCCTTTGTGACTGGTTGTGAGGACTCTGTGGAGCGATTTGCACTGTCAGTGCTTTCTGTCATATCACATGGTCAAGTCTTCTGCTGTGTTTCTCTCTCTCTGTGCGGTGTGATTCTCCCATCCTCTCCCATTCCTTCTGTGTATGTATGGGCATACCTGGAAGTCTATGTGTGTGAGTATTGGTCATTTGACAACAAGCAACCAGGTTCATAACACAGATCTGCCACATCCAACGGGCATGCCAAGCTGTTCAACCCCACCCGTGGTATCAAAGGACCAGCGATGAAGCACTCGTCCGAAGTGATGCCGCAGGCGGCGGCACAGCACACGTATCAACCGTATGCGCACATCCTCGGACAAGATGAAAGGAGAATCAACCCGCGAGGGTCCTACATATACTGAGTGTACACCTCTATTCCCGCCTGTCTGGAAGCCTGAAGCACCAATATGTGTCCCACGGACCGCTTTTTGGCGACAGATGTAGCAAGCCCCAGGAAGCAGGTACCGCAAGGTAGTCGCGACATGAATTATGCACGAAAAAGCGCACAGGTACTGAGGCAAAGGTGTACACCCTATTATCCCAACCGGACCGAAGCAAAACTCCAACGAACGTGGCCGGAAAAGGGAGGAGGTGCCCCCCCAAGAAAGCGAAGAAAAGTATTTAAAAAATGCCCGCCAAAAGTCGATGTCCCCAACACCATCCGAAAGGGAACAAATGCAGAAAATGTAAAGTGTAGAAAATGTAAAAGATGCCGCGAGATCCTTAGGCAAGAGAACAAACAGAAGCGCATTTGAAGAAACCCGGCCTTACTGGCTTAACAGGCCAACAGGCCTGCTTGGTAAACAAGCTAAGTCCCATGAAGCAGTAATTAGCCTCGTCAGCCATAACTTGGCCGCCACTGCCCGCCATATCTATCTTTTTTTTTTTTTTTTTTTTTTGGGACACCAGATCTATCTCGCATAGCTAGCCGATTAACAATTTGAAGAGAAGTTAACCTAAAAAAGGGGTTAAACCACCAGTACTTCCTAGAGTCGTGCCCATTAACGCGCCACTATTTTAGGAAACGTACGGGCTACTACAGGAGCGCCCAAATTCATCCGACTTGAAACGTTTCTACTCTATTTTTTTCCGCGGCCAATAGCTGGGCCAAGTACTGGTGGTTTAAGACTACGTAGTCTACCAGAGTGGCCCAGGACCACTTGCCCGGCGGGGCGAAAAAAATAAAAATCCATGTGCAGCCCTTAGGGATCAGTCAACCCCAAGGTAAAAACGCAATGTCCATGGCCCCAGAGATTGTAAATCTGTTTCTAAGGGATGCTGGACCCGGTTTCCAGCAGGTGACGCTCCCCACCAATAGATGGAGCAGCCCGAATGGTTTTCCAAAAAAATAAACAAATAAATAAATCAAAATAAAAAATAATTTAATTTTTATTTTAAATGTCTAGGCTACCAGAGTGGCCTGGGTCCACTTGCCCAGCCGGGCCAAAAACGAAAAAAAAAAAAAAGAAAAAAAAGCGGTAACGCTGCGCTAACGCACCGTCACTGCGACGCACAGGCAGCGGGGGATCGCACAGGGGTAGTGAAATTGGCTGCGCCTAGCCAGAGCTTGCTGTTGGGAATGGTGGGAGCGGAGAGGCGATAGAGCGTGTGGGCGCTGAGGTGGACACCGCTTCGAGGGGGCATAACCATGCACCTGCCATGACTGGTCTTGGCCGACGACAGTCGGTGATCCTTGTTTGACCGAGGAAGGAAGGGGGAGATGTGGGGTCGGTCAGCGGGCAGGATCTGCGCGTCGTGCATATCTGTATTATCACCTGATCAGGGGCTTTGCCCTCTGATTATAGATACGGAACACGGTTGACCTGCCGGTGCAGTTGCAACTTTTCTGGGCGAGAAGCTGGAGATGGGGACACGAGTACATCTATCAAACGCCGACTTCCGGGAGAAAGACAACAGACTTCATACTGAAACCGGTATCGCCCACTGTCGATGACAACGGGCTTCAAGCCGCGATCAGGGTTGTCCATGGTTGCTGATGTTCCTACTTCGGGCGTGATGGGACTCAGGGCATTGTCCGTGAATTTTTCGATAGAATGTTGATTGCAATCTTACTGGCTTATATTGCGGTTGGTATCTAGGGTTTGATGTCAATTTTTGTTACCTTTTATGGTTGCTTGTGTTGTGCTGTTCTTTCTGTTTTGAGGATGGGAGTATTAATCGGTGTTCGCGTGATAGCTAGGGTTTGGTGTCGTTTGACCGTTTTCTTATAGTTTGTGCTGTGTTGTTCTTTTGTCTTAAGGTTGGGAGTGTTCATCGGTGTAGAGATAGCAGTTGGTGCTTCGAATTGCTGGTGGTGGTCGACTGGTTGTGGGATACTAATTGGAATATTGGAAAACGAAAACAGAGATGGTGTTTCTAAAACCAGTTGTGATTGTGAGCAATTAGTAGATACTAATTAGGTATTGGGGGATGGTAATCCAATTAGTTGGTTTGAAGGTTAGTGGTATT